CATTTTTCAATTATAGATAGAAAATGGTTATATGAGGTGTCAACCTTATACTTTTTTGTGTGTAAGCCATATTTCAAAACCTATCAGAAAAGGTTGTTCAGATGCTAAAAACCATCAAATTGATCATCTCAACCTTGAGATGATTGGATATGGAAAAAAAGAAGATTTTAGTCCTAAAAATAGTACATATTGTAATGCATTCATTGGACTGTCCCCTTTAAAAATTTTAATTGTTTATAAATACTTAATCTTCATCATTTTTGGAGCTTTAAATTTTATAATTATGGGTGACAATAGTTTTTAATGTCTTCACTAGGCTTTGTGGCCCTAAACATGCATCTTGCGGCATAGTTTTAAGTTGCACCTTACTTTGACACGGACAAACTCACCCATTATAAATAGGGTGAGGTTTGTAGGGGTGCCCACCTTATACAAGTGCGGCACATCTCTAAATTATGCCAGTAAATATAGTTCCGGTGTCGAGAACCTCACAATGGCATCAAAATTCATATTCAACCTTAATTATGAAATTCAAAATTTGAAAAAGCAGTGCATCAAGGTCAATAAAACTTGTCCTATTTTTAGGATTTGAAATTCTTTCGTGGAGTTTTTAGGACTTAAAATTCTTTTATAGTGTCCATATAACTTGCCACAAGATGCATTACTTTTAGGAGTTGGTATTCTTTTTGGGAAATGTTTATACAGAGGCTCTAGCAATCAAATTGGAGCGTACCACAAAAATTTCACTAGAGGAGGTTGTTTTGATGCCCAAATATTATCAAATTGATCATCTCGACATCAAGATGCATGGACATGAGAAAAAATGGATTTCAAATTTTGGAATAATGCATTTTTTTACCTTCAATTTTCAAGATTTTCAAGTTTTCATATATATGTCGATCTAAACTAATTTTTTAAGCTTTAAACTTTATAAATAAAGATGAAAATATTTTAAGGCTATCACAAAGATTTTCTATATTGAAACTAGATTTCTTGATCCTATTTGAAGGTAAGCTCTAATTTGATTGTTTAGAGCTAAGGCCCTATACAAACCGCACCTTTCTTTTTTCTTTGTACATACATAGCTTGAAGTCAACCTGAAGGTTTTCCTAAACAGCTATTTTCTATTGGATTTTTGCGGTGCACCTTATTTCCATGATACAAGGTTGGATCTTTATATAAACTTTTTTTTTAACATGCATTCTCTCTCTCGAATTTTGGTCATTGTTCTCTCTCTTTAAATTTGGTCATTGTCTTCTCTCTCTAAAAATTTGGTCATTATCCGCTCTCTCTAAAAATTTGGTCATTGTCCTCTCTCTCTCTCTAAAAATTTGGTCATTGTCCTCTCTCTCTCTACTAAAAATTTGGTCATTGTCATCTCTCTCTCTCTAAAAATTTTTCACCTTGCCACTTTCCTATTTATTCCAACGAATATAAATATGTTCACACACACAATCTCTATCTCTATTTTGTCAGGTTCTCTCTCTCTTCTCTCTCTGTGCACTTCCCTATTTATTCCAACACATATAAATGTGTTCACAAGTGTTCAGCTGTAAAGGGTCCAGTTGCCACAGATAATGAATGCCACTAGCCTTTAAACCAACGGTCAAGCTCTACGCTCCCAGTACCATCAAAGAGATCCCACCCGTCCAGTGAACCCCCTCTCTCTTTATTCCTCATCGATATTTTCAGGTATGGCAGACAATTATTAGATCATAGATGAGGCACACCTAACTTTTGTGTGATAGTACTAGCAACCCTCTCTCTCTCTCTCTCTCTCTACTAAACGCACAGCTACCACCCTCTCTCTCTCTACTAACGACACACACACGACACACCTCTCTTCTCTCTACTAACGCACACACACGCGACACCTACTCTCTCTCTCTATAAGCACACAGAGACGAGGACATAACCTCTCTCTCTCTAAGTACACATAAGGCATCTCGCTCTCTCTCTCTGGGCAAAAACGGAGTCATCTCTCTCTCTCTAGAGGCGCACAAAGGCCATAAGCTCTTTCTTTTCCCCGCCTTTACTGCACCGACTTTACTGCACCGACTTTCCGGCAAGTCCTGCAGTTTCTGGCAAGTTTTCTGGTCATGGATAAGAGGAAGTTTGTTTTCCCGGCAATGGCCATGGCCATCATGGCCTGTTTTTCCGGTGTCCTCGGACAAGTAGCTCCTTCTGGTTCACCGGACTGCACCTCCTCTCTCCAAAACCTGGTTAACTGTCTGAGCTATGTGTTGAACGCGACGAACGTTACAACTCCGGAGAGCGGGTGTTGCCCTGCATTGAGCGATTTCGTTTCTTCGACGCCAATATGTCTGTGTCAGATTGTCGAAGCGAACAACACATATGGCTTGGCGATCAACAGGACGAGGGTGTTGATGCTGCCGTCTGCTTGCAAGGTTTCGACGCCGCCGTTGAGCACTTGCGCCGGTTCGTCCTTCCCTCTCTCTATGTGTGTGTGTGCTGGATCTTAGCTTCTCTTTCTCATGGCTGCTATGGCCATAACTTCTTTCTCTCGATCTCCATTTCTTAGTTCTCTCTCTCTCTCTCTGGCCGAGTCCTTTAGGGCGTGTTTGATTTCCAGAAGACACCGTTTTGAAACCGTGTCATCTTGGAGAATTTTCATGTTTGATTTAAAAAAGACACGGTTTCTTTGTCTTCCAATACTGTAGAACTTCTTTGATTAGGTATCAGGGAAGTTTTACAGTAACAATCTTTTAACATATGTTTGATTTATGGAAGACACTGTTTTGAAACCATATCTTCTAAATACTATAGCACTTCTTTGTTTTCATAACAAGAAAGTTTTACAGTAAAATAGATATATTCCGGTATCCACTTTTTATATTTAAAGATAAAAAAATGGATACCGCCATATCTACTTCTTTAGAACATGTATTTTTCAAAACTGCTTCTTCCAAAAAATCAAACATGCCGTTAGTTTCACTAAGCAGATAAACCTAAGCTCCTAACTTACTTCCTCTTTCTCTCTCTACTTTTTTTCTCCAATGGATTTCTAAGTCCCTAACCCCTCTCTTTCTAACTCTCTCTCTCTCTTCTAAGTTTTTTTCAAGTAGAAAATCAGCACTGAGCAGCTAAGCTTTCTCTTTCTCTTTTTTTTTTCTGTGTTTTCCCTTTTTTTGTTTCATTTTTTTTCCTTTTCCCCAATCCTTTCGACTTCCATTTTATGTTATTTTTCTTATATGATATGAAAATGAAAAGTTTTGTGTGTGATTGCAGTTGTGGGCATCCCTGTGCCTGGTCCTATCGCTCTTATTCCCGCAGCGGCCGCCCCAACAAATCCCATCACCAGTAAAATCAATCTCTCTCTTTCTCTCAGATTAGATTTGAATCTTAAGCCAACAAGAAATACTTTTTCCAATTCTATTTGGAAAGTTGCACTCTATTTCTATACCAATTATCTCACGATTGACTAGGTAAGAATCTAAGTAAAAATTTAACAAGGGCTAGTTTCTAGTAACCGGCAAACCGGCTGGTTTTGAGTAACCGGCTTAAATGGAAAAATGTGTTAAAAAGATGAGAAAATATGAAGAGTTCTAAAAAAATATGAAAAGTATATTTAAAACATGATTAAACAAAGTATATCGAAATGAAATTAAAAATTAATAAAAAATGGATTTTAAAAAATCAATGTGTCCAAGGGTATTTTTAAATTTTTTTACAAAATATGGAAAAATAGAAAAAAAATGATTTACCGTTAAAACACTTTCCAATCTTTCCTAAAATGATTTAAAACGTCAAAAAAAAAACCCATTACAAATAAATCTCTTGTTTTTTATAATTTTATATAATTTTTTTTGAAGTTATCTAAAATGCCTACCAAATTTATCAAAAACAGCCAAAACTGGAACTAGGACAGTGCCCGATTCTAATCTAATTGGCCGGTTCCAACCAGTCGATTCCAAGTTGAACCGGCCGGTTCCGGTTTTGAGTTGAACTGGCTGAGTTTGCTAACACCGGTGAGAATCAAATGGTCTCTCTCAAAAATTAGAGAGAGCGAGAGAACATTAGCTAACTTCAAGCTATATTAGGGTTTGTTAGGGTAGAGAGAGAGAGAGAACATTAGCAACTTCAAGCTATATTAGGGTTTGTTAGGATATATATATATATATATATATATATATATATAGAGAGAGAGAGAGAGAGAGAGAGAGAGAGAGAGAGAGAGAGAGAGAGAGAGAGAGAGAGAGAGAGAGAGAGAGAGTAGTAGTAGTAGTAGTAGTAGTAGTAGTAGTAGTAGTAGTAGTAGTAGTAGTAGTAGTAGTAGTAGTAGTAGTAGTACGTAGTACGTACGTAGTACGTAGTACGTACGTA